GGCTCCTACTGTTCACCGACTTGACCCGCGCGTAGAATACTTACAGACGAGCGAACGCGAACCCCTCAATATACACGGAAATAGTCGGCGAGTTGCTCGCCACCATTCCTAGAACTTCGAAACAAGCTCAACATCTAAGCTACTATTTCCTGGGTGCCCGCGCACGCGGGCATTGACAGCAACGAGTGGGCCTACAGCGAGGCGCGAGTAGCAGTTCTTCAGATGGCATCCGCGCCGAACGCATTCCACAACTCAGCCGGCGAGGCAGCCGTCCTGGCTGACCCGTCTACCGTCAAGGAAATTGCTAAACAGCGAAGGCGGAGAACCCTACGGCACCTCCGTGAGGAACGGGTGGAACGTCCGGACGAGCAGTTGCGTCCCGTTCCTCCGGTGCCGAATGACCTACCGAGGAGCACTCAGACCCTCGTCCGGCGCCCGGTGACCAACACTGTCCTATCCCTGGCGCTGCGCCATAAGTTCTTCAGTGACGACTCCGAGGAGGGGGAGGGTCGCTGGTTCCGCAGGACCGCGGCGGCTGCCCATGTTGTCTGGGAGTGCGAGCGCAAAACGAAACTGGAGGAACTCTCCGACGGGATCCGTGCGGCGACGTATGTTGACTGGATTCTGCCCACCAGTCATGACAAGGCGATCGTCTCCCTGCTCTGGACAAAGCTGGCAGAGTTTGTGTATTACGACGACGGCCCCGGCGGACGACTCTGCAGCAGCCGAAGGCGCTGGGGCCAACACCCACCCGGATCGCGGTGACCGCAGTGGCGGATCCTTGGGCCCGCACCAATGCAGACGACAATGGTGCATTATATGTGTGTATAGTATATATATATATGCATAGATAACAAGGCAGTAAAGAACGTTCTAACCTTCCTGTCATTTTCACTTTGCCAGTAAGTATAGTTAATAATATGGAGAGGAAAACCCCCTCTCCCCCGGTGTCGTTTGTCCCCCTCCGAGTGCTTCTGACGCCCTTGGTCTAGAGTTCCGCCATTCATTCATTTCGATTCATTTTCGTGGATTGACTGACAACATGTAGCTTTAAGTGAAAAGGTTCGCCTTTATATGGCTTGGCTGTCCTGAGGCTGGAGGAATTGGAGTTATGGGTTGTACGGAGGGGCTTAATTACTTTAGCAAACTTACACGGTAAGGCCCAAGCAGGGGAGGGTAGAAACGTAAAATAAGATTTAAGCACGCCAGATTATCTCTCTCTATATAAATCTATATAAGTGGCGAAGGTTTACAACTGCTTCCGTTGATATATCGGCAAAAGTAGGCCATACACAGCAGCCGTGGGGTGATAAAAATGAAAAATCTAATTTAATGGCGAAAGAAGTCGCACAAGAAAAAAGAGTAAAGTTCCGAGAAAAGAATTGTATCGGTTTACAAGAACGATCAATGCTAGACAGAAGAACGCTAGATATGTGGGGAGTACACACGTAAAAATGACAGAAAAAAAGTGAAACTTAAACGCTAGAACTTACAAAAAATAATTTTGACATGGAAAATACAATAAAGAATTAAAACGAAAACTAAGAAAGGGGCCTGACGTCCGTCGACGTTCCGACAGTGGCACAGTCAAAACACATATGGGTGATTTCATCTCAACTCAGGGACGAATTTCGGGTCGAACTTTTAATTTTGACAAAAAAAAAATATATGTTTTGAGGAAAATCTTTTTGTGACAGGGAGTACAAACGGGCATGTTCGAGAGGTTTCAGTTCTTGAGTTATGGACATTTTAAGCAGCCGGAGCGCAAACTGACCTTTCTCTCGCCTGTCGGAGGTGTCATGTTTCAGTCCTTTCAACCTTTGGCTTTTATTGGTAGTGCAATCTAACTTTTCGGGCCACTCTCAGAATAGAAATTATTTTATGGTCCATAATTTTTATTGTGATTATTTATCTTCACTTTTGTTTTAAATATTGTCACAGTGTATCGTTTTTACAATATTTTTCAAAGTTTGACCAGCTCTTCCTTGTGACCTATTTAAGATATCGTAACATATTCAGTATTTTAAGAAAGCTATGAGTATACTTTTTCGATTGATAACAAATTTAACGTTGTGTGCAAAAGAGAAAAGGCAGTGTATTCTCGTAAAGCAAGGACTATTTAAAATATTGGGAAATTGGAGGTTGATTTGCTAAAAAAAAAACCACTTTCATTTGGCTGTTTTTTTCTCTCTATAAGCAAGCTATTGCAGTGCTTTATAAGTCACTATAAATAAAAAGTGTAAGATTTTGTACGTATGGCAACTATCAGAGCTTGAAACCTCTTTTTTTTTTTTTTTTTTTTTTTTCAGGAAATTATCTTACTCGCAAAAATACACTAATTCAAAATTGGCGCCTCTCATTTTTTAATAGATACCTGTGAACACACTTATTTTCTGATAAATCTTTTTAACGCAATTATTTAAAGAAAATATATTATAGAAAGTTGTAAATATGACGTTTTTGGACGATATTTCGAAAAGTTTACCTACTTTTCCGTGTGACCTATACACCAACTCATGTTTACAAACAAACCGAAGCGCCCCTAGCGGACGCCACCGGCGCCGCGCATGCGCGATGGGGGTGTGGGCAAGAAGCTCGCCGTCGCCCATAAACAAACCATTGAAATGCGATGTTGTCGGCGTCAGTGTGAGTCCTCCTGCTCTTTTTTGCGTTCGAATTGTTGATTCTGCGTCTTCCTGGCGATGTCTAACTACTTGAGCGGCGTCAGCGAAATTACCGAGTCTCGCTACACCGCGAAACTTCGCGTGAATAATGTGACATGTGGTGATTCATTCCGCGTGGACGCCGCAGTATGTGCGCTAAAACCTGATTCGCATGATGAGATTTCGCTCGCAATTTTCAGTCGCGACGCCACTCGGGCTCCAAAAGCGTGAACCGTAGCTGAGGTGGTCGACGTCGATACTGAAAATCGCAAGCAGAATCGGACCAAGTCAGTTAGGCATAGCAAGTCAGTGATGGTCGCGGGAAACAATTATCAACATCTCCTTTATTTACTTTTTACATTGAGCCTGCTTACCAACCTTCAAACTTAAGTGTTTTGAGGCCTGCACTTCTTATAGCAAGTACCGGGCCCACATTTGGTCTACGGGCCGGCGTCGTCTAAGAGAGCAGACGACAAGCAGAAACGTTTGAAAGAGCAGACGACAGTTCGAACGGTCAGGCGGCCGTTTGAACTTGCAGACGCACTGAACGTAGTCCGCAGATGGTACGCACAACTTGATGGCTTTCTGGCGTTCATGTTGGAACAAAACAAATAAATCTGACGACCACAAGTATCTCTGAATTCAACCCAAAGTGCTTCGCGCCTAAGCAATCGTTGTCCGAGGGCGTCTGTTTTTTCCTTTTCACGACACACATCCCGACTCTCGGACGAACCGAGCACCGTGAAAACTGACCTTCAAACCTTTCTCGACTCTTTTGGTACGGCCCCAGTCCCGGCGTTTTGACGAGAAGGCAGGTTTTTGTCTGGCTCCAACGCAGGAATGCACGTCTGGCATGGGGACATCTGCCCACAGCCCCAGACCGGAAGTGCGACCGACAGGTCACCACCGCGCCATGACGTCACAGAGATGAGTTGGTGTATATGAGGTGTCTTAACATACTGAGTATTTTCAGAAAGTTTAGAGTATACTCTTTCTAATGATAACAAATGTGATGTCGTGTGTTAAAGAGAAAGGACAATGTGGATTCGTAAAGCAAGGACTTTTTAAAAAATTTGCGAATGGGAGGTCGATTTTCTGAAAAGCCCAACTTTTCTTTTGGCTAATTGTTTTTCTCTAGCTACCAATTGCAGTGCTTTATAGCGTAAAATATACAAAAAGATATAATATTTTGTTTGTATGGCTGCTATAAAAGCTTACGTTTTGTTTTTTGTTCACTTGTCGCCCAGTAATACAAGTGACTCACAAAAATACACTAACTCAAAATTAACGCATCTGAAATTGATAGTGACTACCTGTAAATTTCTTTAATAAAAGAAGATGCCAACGGCGAATTATGCTAATAAAGCGTCTAGGTCGTAATGTGTTTAATGTTTTTTTTCTAATTGTCAAACCGCCTATCTGCGACAATATTTGACGAAGTTCAGCAAGCTGTGCTGTGTGACCTAATCAATATATTTTATAATCTTTACATCACCATAAAACTCTAACTAAATTCTTCCCTTCGAGTATAAATTGAATACTTCGCGCTATACATATAATGCAGAACATTTGCCTCAAAAACAAATATTTAGAAAGATTTGCAAGTTTGAATTCAATTTTCTAGAAAAACCCACCTATCATTTCTTTCATTTTTTATTTACAGTTAGGCATTATAGACGTCTGTTAAGGACTACGAACAGAAATTGTAATATATTGTTTGTATGGTGGGTATTAGGACTCGAATCTCGTGCTATGATAGTTTTGAACGGGACTTCGCATAGACGCTTATCTGAGCAGAATTTTGACCTCTGCGAGCGTCTGGGGCTAGATAAGAAAGGGAAATATCGCGCGGGCGCCTTACCGCAACCGCTAGCATTGTACCTCCTCCACGAGTGGTAAGTTTAGTGCGCTACTACTCTTCTCACGCGCTCAAAGTCTTTCTAAAAATGACACAACTAAGGGTTTTCGATAACGCTCAGAAACGTTCTAGTCGGAACCATATGTCTACTTCCACTAATTAAAAAAGTTAATTAACAAAACTTCAATTAATTAGCTGGCTAGTTAGTATGCTCTTGCCAATTCCTGACGTCCGCCGTAGATGGTACCCTGTTCCCGAAGACACTTTTTTTTTTTGAAACGCCCTAATTTTTAGGATTTTTGAAAGTCTTCGCAAAAACACCCGCTATTATATATATATATATATATATTTGTTTACTTTGGGCACCACCGCTGATTCCTTCTGGCTGGCTCATTTATTAATTTTGTGCTTCCACTACTTATAATTAGTAAAGCATGTTCCTACATACGTTCGTTATTTTTCTTTTTCTTTTAGAGATGTGCTTTCTGAGCGTATGACTGGATACAGAGCTACGGGCACGCTGGTGAGTTTGTTTAGCCGGTTGAAACGGACGGGGTTCCGGCGCACCGGAGATTCCAAGTTGGTGAGAGCGAACCACGAGCGCGTCGTGAAAGTCGCCGAGATGCAGCACGTGATGCAGTTGCTTCATTGTTCGGGGATGCAGACGAAACACACCGACAAAGCAAAGGACTGGGAACTCGGACACAAGCTGGCAATTCTCCTCGGAGACTTTTTCTGGGCTCTAGCCTTTAAAGAGGTCGCAGATACCCAGGATATGACTGCAAGTATACACTTAGCCAAGTACACACCTCTCGTGATCGTGGCACAAAATGATAGCGTACCAGCGTGCATGACGGCCAGACGTCTCAATCGCGTAATCTCTAATTGCGTACGTTCTTATAATTTCTGAGTGCATGTGTATTATTAGTTGAATGCACGATTGTGTACAGACTTCATAATTCCAGTTCAAGTACCATATATCCCATTCCTTGAGTTTGAAGTGGTCAGTTCTACAATAGGGGCAATTTTTTCATTTTATCAAACCTGACGTCGGCGGTTTTCGATAGCTTTATTCTGATGGAATAACTTCTCTTCTTAGGTAGTTCTTTTTTTTAGTTATTTTCAGTTGTTTGTAAATCACCCGATAGATTTCAATCGTTGCAAATATCTTGGATTATCATATTTTTCTCCGTACCAAGAGTATAATCAGCAGGGATAATTTCGGCTAAATAGAAACGTTTTCTTTAGATAGTATGCACTAAGTGAATAGCCCGCATCTGATGCATACTTCGCCCTTGGTGCATATTCCGTACCTGGTACATATTCGGCACCCATAAGAAAACTCACACAACAATTTGAAAAAAAAAAACTCTCTCTTTATTAGCGAACAAATTAGCTTGTATCACCGAGAAATCGTCATGAACATAATTTGTCTGTCACAAAGTTCGTCACTTCCTGTCTTAATGAATGACCGAGAAGAAGCAAACCCATTTTTATAGTATGCACTTGTGGATAGCCTATACCGCGCAAAACTTTAATGTTTAAACATGTATAAAGCCTGCGGTCCGTAGTCCCGAAAATAAGTACAATATATTTAAATATACCTTTATTGTATTTTTTGGCTTAACAAATGTGTAAATGTTACCATACGCAGAGCGTTGTGCCTTTTGACAAAAAGAAAAAAAAAGGTCACACATAGCCAGCATACTCTTCTCATCTTTTGCAACAAATATTTAGTAACAACAGCCTCGAACACAACAATAAAAAAATAAAAAAGCGACATTTGGGAATGACAATGCAAATTAGACTCAGCATGCAAAATAGACCACTTTCAAAAGTCCATCAAGCAACATTGGCGGTCGCCATTGCTTGGACAGGAAGCGTGTGATTGGATCCGAGTCCTCCCCGAATACTGACGCAGCTTTCGTGGTCAATACAAGCCGAGCCGAGTTCACGCCGAACGCTGACGCAACACTCGTGTCCAATACATGCTCGGAGTACCTGCCCAAGCAACGGCGGACAGGCAATAGAGTACACTTTTGAAAAATTACCCATTTCCCGCCGAACATTACGCTCTCCTATTCACCGATTCACTCTGATTACCGTTCAGTACTGAAAGAGGAAATAACATTTGTTAGTTCGACATGATTACCTCCCAACTCAGCACGCTTATTTCATATTCTTAATTGATTTAGATTGTTTGGTTAGCGTGCGTGAGGAATACCATATATATATTTACCCGGAATGATGGCGCTTGTATTTTGCTGACGGTGAGTTTATCTCCATTTTGTACATTTCCAAAACTTCAGGTACTTTGGACTTTTGCCAGGGCTATTGAATATTTCGCCGCCAGCAGTTTTGAACAAATTCCACACTGTGTGAGCACCGAGTGGTGTAAGGACTTCACTCCAAGGCAATGTTCCTGGTTTCCAAGTGCGTTTGAATGCTCGCTCCTGGTGGCTGGTGTTGATTGTCCAAAGGAACGTGCTGAAGCTCGGAAATGTGGGACCAACCTTGTTTTAGCAATACAGGTGAGCATTCTGTGTTATCGTGTAGCGTTGCAATACTGGGTGTGCGGAGGGGAACAAAATTAAGTAATGGCCGAACTTCAGCGGGGAGTATGTTACTTCCGGTTGGCTATTGTTTTTGCTTGTTTTGAGGACCATCAGTGAGTGGCGCATGCTTTAGAGGTCTCACAGTCAAGGACTAACTGCGGTACGTCTGGAAATTTACTTATACGGAATCGACATGCCTTCCTGATTCCTTGGGTTAAAAAAGGAGCACTCGTTAATAAAAAAAAAAGATAAAATTTGCCGAAGATATTGTGGGCGCATCTACAGGATTACCTATTCAAATAGCCCGGTGCAGGCTGAGAGCGACTTAAAACCAGCAAATCCCTAAACGCGTCCAGCTGCTTTATGAACAGCAAGGCATCAGGGGTGAGCACACACCTCCCCTAGGTGCCGAACATACGCGCCGAGCTTCTCTGCAGGGGCCACCAAGCCGGACAATCTTCCGAAAGTTTATATTACGCTACCCTTAGCGTGACGAGAATCTTTGTGACGCACAATCCTAGTGTTTTGACATACTTGCTTTGGTATTCAAGGTTCGTTCCCTAGAGCGCAGTGCACATTGCGTTTGTAATGCCGTAATAGCCCATCGCCGTACGGAGAAGGCCAATTGAGGCGCCGCGGCGGCGTCGCCGGATCCTCCCGTTTTCGCGTTGCGTTATAAGTCGGGAGCATACTAGCACGGCCCGCCAATGCCGTCGTCCTGGAGTCCACAACGCTCGGCGGCGTCGGTGGCGTACTTCGTCTCAAGATAATCGAAATAATTTCACTCGTGACATTTTCTTCGTGCCGGTACGCATCGGCAACTTAAAAGCACGATACTGAGGCAGCTCTAACGTAGCTCTCACGCAATTTTTCGCTAGTGTACCAAGAGTCGACGCAACAACCATTCAAACACAATGGTAAACATAGGAGAACCAAGACTATTTTTATCTCCCTTCCATGGTGGCCGGAAGTGGGGCGCACATCCTGTATTATAAGAATAGTAATCCCCGTTGTTCCTCACTTCTCGTTGCATAAGTAATCGTTTTAAGAATATACACTAAAACCCTTTTCGCTATTCGGATTATCTAAAAAGTAATCTAACTGAACCATTTTAGTGGAAACCTTAAATCCAGGCAGAAAACCTGAAATTAAGATGGAATCCAATTGTTTGTCGCACAATCCAGACAGCGAAAATATATTCTTTTTTATTTGGGGTAGGGATATATATCCTAAAACTACTGCTGCTTCTAGTAAATATACCTATGGTGTCTGGCAGCCTAAGGAACGCGGGGTGTGGCCACTCCCGAGCATCTCATTAGCTCTCCAGCAGTCAATCGATCGGATTGTGGCATTGCTCAATAAGAAGGCCGAAGAATCAATCACGAGGCAAAAAGTGTGTACATATTAAACCGAGCCCTGCCAATTAAATCTCTAAGGGACTATAGTTACTTTTTTCCAAGCTGTATAAATTATGCAGCATCTACAAAATGTGCAAGTGAAAATATTTTGTTTGTGTAATGTAAAGAGCAGAACTTATTTTATTTCTGTACCCTCCAGGCAAAGGATATCATAAACCAGTTCCTGAAAAACCAAGGCCAGATTCCTGAAATGAGTGTCGAAGAAATTTCTTTGATGGCATTGAAGTTTGGGTGTTCAACAGCAGCATCTGTCTCGTCATCAAAATTTTACGAAGTAAGTTTTATATTTTGTGATCGGTTGTCTTGCTTCATTCTTGACCCGGAGGAATAGCGCGAAGCCAACGGTTTCAACAACAAGAATCTACATTTAATTGGACATTGACGGTACAATGAAGAATAATAACAGAAAACCAGAGAGCACCTGTGGCGCATGAGTCCCGCCAGCGACTCCTCGTGCGTAGCCTCTCATCCGCCTTATCTAGGCGGCACGTGTGGTGTGCGCGTGGCCGGCATGACGTCGTCGCCACGCGGGAGAAGTTCTACCCTGTGCCCTGTAGTCGGGCAACTGGGCTGGGGAACCATCAAGGTGCCCACACTTGCCCCCCTCCCCCATCCCTCAGACTTCCTCTGGCATGTCCATGACAGGGTCGTCGTTGTGGGCGTCAGGGGGAGGAAGGTCCTGCTGGGCGGACCGGCGTAGCAGGTCCGGTCGGCGCCGCTGGCGGAGCGCAACGGCCCGTTCGAGGTCGCGCTCGCCGAGATGGTTGATGCGCGCGATGTGTGTGGCGTCCGACCTCTCGCCATTAAGATGCCCGCGTTCGTGGGCCGCGGGACGGATCTCAGGGACCCCACAGTGCGGACAGAGGAGGCGCAGCTCTTCTGAGGTGTAGAGTGCAACCGGCTCTGCGGGGTGACGATCCTCTAAGGTTCGTCCGCGGAAAGGCTCGGGAATGGAGGGCGGTGCGCCGCCCAGCTCTGGTTGAGGCTGGTCCCTCAAGCGTAGCTTGAACACCCAGCCTACAGACGTGTGCCCCTCGAGTACGGTCCAAGTGGCGATGGTCCGTTGTTGCCGGCTGCTGCATCGCTTGCAGGGGCCTTGTCCGCGGGGCCGTTCTGCTGGGGGTGGCAACGGTCTACGATCCCCTGGGCCGCTCCTGCTACGCCGACGTCCTTAATGGCCCGGTTCACCATGAGCCCGGTCGCCATGTCGTTCAGATGACGGAGTGTGCTGGCGGTGTTGTTCACGAGCCATCTTCGCGGAAAAACAAGGAAGCAGACGACATGGGGGATTAGTTGTGGGTGGAGCCTGACGTTATCTTCGCACCCCCCCCCCCCCCCCCAGAAAGTTTGAAGGGTGGTTACATTTGAAATCGAAAACGCTTGTCGGGGTGGGTCTTTTGATTCTTTTTTAATATATGTAATTGCCCCATTCCTGGAAAAAACAAAACCGCTTTCGAAATTTTTTTTTTAATATTTCGCTTTACAAAACATGATTGAGTGGAGAAGGGTGAAAATCTCTTCTTTACTCTGTGATTTTTCTACCCACTTCTGTATGCAGGTACGGATACGGGAAGCATTGTAACTCATGAGTTAGTAAGTTTGTCACTTATTAAATACTATGCGGGTGTAGCTCTATACATGAGCTATCGACGGGCATAAGTTTATTTCATTTTATTTTCACTGAATTGTTTATATAAAATTTGAAATATCGTCGAAAATGAAATTATTTGATATTTTGAACCCACTTTATCGAAAAAGGCCATTTATTATTTCGTTCAAATTTTTTTTATTATTGCTGCCGATCTTATGAACTTTCAATTGGCTTGATGCGACTTCCCCTTTTTCTTGTTGTATCTTCTCAAGAAGTGATCGAAATCGCTCTCACGTTCTCTGAGCGGCCAAACACGGTTTCCGCAGGTCGGCTTTGCTGCAAAGACTATACTGCTTATTTGTGTGTTCAAATGCAGCGGGTAAATTTATTTCGATTGAGAACACTCATGCTTGGCTAAATATTTCATTTTCTTAATTTTTTAATCATGGCACCTGACATTCTTTATTTGAGAGTTAGCGGTGCAGCGGATGTTCCATTATCCGATGTCTAAAGCCAGGGCACAAAGTGCGGAGAAAACAGAACGAGCCCTTTATGTAGCCAGACCGGGGTCATATACCTGTTCGTGTTATACACAGGTTGTAAGGCTTGAAGCATTTCGCCACAGTACACAATTTTCGTTCGCAGGACGGCTTCTTGATGTGGATGTCAAAGGACTTCGTTAAAAAAAAATTAAAACAATGACAACAAGCGTTCAGCTTTTCAACTTGCCGGAGAAAGAAATAGATATAGTCAGGAAGCACAAAAAAGAAGAGTGGACCTCAGTAGGTGCCGCACGGGATTACGCTCCTCACATGTGTGGTGCCCAGTTCGCGAGCCGGGCGAGGAAACTAAGGGGACATTAGCACGAGATGTACAGTCTCCGGCATTATGAAAGACACATTCGCCGATGCTGTTTATGCAGCGGTGCCAAGCCCGGCTTGGCCGGACGCGCTTTATTTTGAAGGAGAAAAAAGAACAAACCTTTATTTACTCCCAAACCAAAGCAATGTGTGCCTAGCCAAAACAAATCTATCGTAGCCACCTAAGATAAAATCTTCAAATCGCTTTTTCATATTCCCGAAGGTTGTACAATCTTTGCATTAAGCGCGGTGCGACAAAGTGGAGAAACTAAAAGTCTTCAGAGACATTAAGTGACTGCTTTCGCTGCCTTCTGTGCACATTCTTCTTGGCATCAGAGGTATCGATCAGTCTTGAACAAAACCCAACCTCACACACTCGTTCAAACAGAAGGGCCACCGTCTCGGATTCACCGCCCACTCGCTTTGGCTTCAGTTTTCGTTCTGTCCGTCTCGACTTACCACGCTGTTGAACTTCTCGGCTGCATCCGACCGCTGCGGTACAAAGTTCAGCTCGCCCCCGCGCTCGATCGCCTCCACAGGCAAGCCGATGCCGTTGCCAAAAAGTGTCAATATTGCGTTGCTCGTGAACTGGACTATTTATAGCACAACAACATGTTGTTTTACAAGTGCATCCTAAATATACTAGCGTTAATTAATAAAAGTGACTATCGCCAATTGGTGTTTGTGTTCTGTAAAAAATTGTCTTCGCTTCATGTAAACTCAGTCCGTTTTCCTCACTTTTTTTCAGCAAACTGCTTTTCCTTCTTAAAGAGGGGCATTGATATTACATATTTTTTATATACACGCTGACAATAATGAACAGGCGCTTGAATGGTTATTTGGTCGCACGCGACAAGTGTGTAAATATTGCTTTTATTATAAAATTTAAAGAATAAATAATATAGAAAGAGGGATGCAAGACGCATTGTTAGTCACCCATGGGGGGTCTGGTTCGTCGTCTTGCGGGGATCGGGAGAAAAAGAGGATAGGGTAGGAGGCGACAATGGGGATGGGCGTATTTACAGAAATGAAGGGTATAGCCGCCGATGCGATGGAAGGACAGGCCACATCCCACCGCCGCCCCAAACGCAGCCGGAGCACGCGCTCCCCTGCTGGGTGCCGACTTCAAGAAGCCGAAGCGCCACAGGGGCACGAGCGCCCCCGCCACGACTAGGGCGACGGAACGAAGCACCCGCCGCTTCGACCCATCGGCGGCCATAGGATGAAGGCATGTTGTATGCTAGTTCACAGTCTTGATGACAGGTTTGTTGTTTCTAAAAAGTCAATTAGTGCTTTCAGTATATTTGTTCTTCTCGTCCGGGATCCTGATGGGAAGAGGAGAGCGTTGGAATCCCCCGGCGAAACATGGAGAGCCTTCAGTGTTTGCGTTAGTGTGGTTTGCTCTGTTTCTAGCGACTGACACTCCCAAATAATGTGGTTTCTGTCTTCGATGATGTTGCATGTGGTGCGGTTGGGAGACTTAATGCGCTTGATAAGGTGAAGTCTCTTGTTGGTTGAAGCGCAGGCGGCTCGCAACCTGTGTAGGAGTGATTATTGAGGCCTGGAGAACTTTTTTCGCGGAATCAATGCTGGAATGGGTGTTGAATTGGTTTCAATATACGGGTGCATGCTTTCTATTGCCGTTGTTATAAGAGATTTCGCTGCGTTGTACGGGTGGACAAAGATAGTGGGACTTTGGTCTGAGTGGGCCTCTGCTGCCAGCGAATCTGCTCTTTCATTTCCGGGTATACCTACATGTGATGGGATCCATTGAAACCAGATGGTTGTTTCCTGTTTCGCAGCGCGCCTGGTCAAATTTGCGATGGATCTTGCTAGTGGGCACGCTTTTTCCAGGCGTGTTAGTTGCTGTAAGGCGTCTCGAGAGTCCGAGAAGATGGCGATGTTGGTCAGGTTGGTTTGTCGTAGGGTTTGGGTAATTGCTAACCAAATGGCAGCAAGCTCTGCGGTGGTGGAATCAACGCAGATATCAATTCGCCCTTTACCGTGGTGTCTATCTTCAGGCGAGACATAGGCTGCAGTGCACGAGCTGTCTTTTATGCTTCCATCGGTATAAATGTGCGTCATGCCGGAGTAGGTATTTTCTATTGTCTCAACGGCGATGCTCCGCGCTACCACTTCAGAAACGTGCTTGCGTCGGGGGAGGTCGGCTATCTCTGTTGAGACGTGGAGTTGACAGTCGTCCCGATAAGGGGGAGGTATCGGGCATACATCCGTTGGGTAGCCGATAGTATCGCGGAATGTTTTTACAGCCTTTCCAACCTGAGAGTGGTGTCGTGTTATGAGGCGTTGAAGAAGTGGGTCCGAGGATGGAGCATCTGATAGACGGCTGACATATCTTAATGTTTTCTCCTGTGCTTGGAGCTGCAGTGGAGAATCTCCCGCCTCGGTCAAAGTTGGAATGTTCTGTGCGGATTTAGGTAGCCCAAGGCAGAAACGGAGGGCCTTCCTGTGAAAGGTTTCTAAATATTTCCACTGCGTATGATTTATATTTAAGAATGGCAAGGCGTAGAGCATACGACTTATTATTAGTCCTCGGTAGAGTGTCGTCATTGTCATCTGTCTGGCACCCCAGTTTTTTCCAGATATTCGATGGAGAGCGCCGAGGAGCTTATGGGACTCAATGAGGACACCTTTTACCGCGGGGCGCCAAGTGACGCGGTCGTCAATGATTACGCCTAAGTATCGAACTTGTGGTTCACGTCGAATGGCATTGCCTCCAATTTTAAGTGCAGAGTATTTTCCTTTCACTCTGCCTTTAGGGCGATAGGTGAGAGCTTGTGTCTTAGATGTGGAGAGTGTCAGACCGGCATGGTGGAGGAAGGAGGCCGTGCGATCTAGAGCTCGTTGTAGCACTGTGCGGACGGTAGTGGACAGTCGGGTAGGCCCAGCGCACCATAGCGCGACGTCATCCGCGTATATGGCACAGTGTATGGGATAAGGGCCACCCACAGGAAGAGCAGTCGGTAGTCCAGCCATTACGATGTTAAAAAGCAGAGGACTCAAAACACTGCCCTGTGGTACCCCCTGGGTGCTGCTTCGTATCGTGCTCAGGCGGCCAGCCAGTCGGACAGCGAATGTTCTGTTGTGAAGAAAAGAAGTAATGAAGCGAACGGCGCGCCCTTCTATTCCTGCGTTCTGTAGTCGTTCTAGGATTACAGAGTGTGGCAGAGCATCAAATGCTCGATGGATGTCGAGAAAAACGGTGTGGATGACCTTTCCTTCTGCCTTTGCCTGCTCTAACGACGATACGATGTCGCCGATGGCATCTGTTGTTGACCGGCTTCTTCGGAATCCTGACAGCTGATAAGGAAAGGGTTGCGCTCGTTCCAATTGCCAATTTAAACGGCGGTGGATCAGGCGCTCAGTCAGTTTGCATAAGCACGAAGTCAAAGAAATCGGACGGTACGAAGATATGTCAGCTGCAGGCTTGTTAGTTTTTTTTATTGGTACTATTACTGAGTGTCGCCAGGTGTCAAGGACATCCCCAGATTGCCAAATATTGTTTATAAGTTGTAACAGTCCGGGTAGGAATGACTCGTCTAGGTTTTTTAGAGCCTGGTTTGTGATGCGGTCAGGACCCGGAGCTCCACGTCGAGGGCATCGGGAGAGGGCATATCGGAGCTCGGACAATGTAAAGTCATCGTCTATGTTGATTGTTGAATAGGTTGGATGGGGGGGCCTTTTGGAAGGCGGATTTCCTTGGGGAGGGCTTATGGGGCGTGAGAACTCGTCTGCAAAATGTTCAGCCAGTTCTTGGAGCGATGTTTGATTTCCCATTGCAATTGCTGCATAGGAGCATTGGGGAGTCACTGGTTCTAAGAGGCATTGCACAGTGGTCCAAGGCCGCCTTCACCCAGTATCTGTCGATAGACTTTCACTGCGTTGGTCCCATTGTAGTCTCCCCAGCCTTATGGTATATCGACGAAGTGCTGCGTCGATGCGTCGAGATTTTATCCAATCTTCATCTTGGTGTGTGCGTCGGGCGACTCGCTGTGCTCGTCTGGCATTGGCGCGTATTTGAAGATACGTAAGATCGGGTACGGGCTTGCTTATCGGGAGGGGGATTTTTGTTGTTAAGGACGTTAGTATAGCTTCTTCTAAGCAAGGGGCCTTTGTGCTTTTCATCAGATTTGAGAATACTTCTCTGTACCTGTCCCAGTTGGTAATGTTGTGAACCCTGGTTTTTGGTTGGGTGCCATAACGTGCGGTGAGTCGGATTGGTAGGTGGTCGCTCCCCCAGGTGTGTGGTTCGATGTCCCATAGGAAGCTTATTTCTTTTGATACAAAAGTGAGGTCAAGTACACTCGCCTTTTGTAGATTCGCGCGAACGAATGTTGGGGCTCCGGAGTTGAGACAACGTAGTCCAAGGTCTCTGGTGACTTCAAGCAGTGCGGTTCCTCGTTCCGTCGTTGTGTCACTTCCCCAGGCGTAATGATTGGCATTAAAATCTCCGCACCAGACTATAGGCCCTGGGCATCGGTCTCTTATTACTCTCAGCAGGTCTGGGTCCCACGATTGGGCTGGTCGGATGTAGGATGATATAATTACGACTGTTTCATCAGCAATCTGTAATTTGACGGCGACATGTTCGGCAACAGTGGTGTTCAGGTCAGACAGATCTATTTCTCCATGCAGGAAGTGTCGCTTGACTAAAAGGGAAGCCCTTGATGTTCCATCGGGGTGAGCGCCGAGGAGGCCCCTCGATGAGGGGATGCGAGACCGTGATCGTGAGCGGCAGGGTGGCCGTGATGTGAGTGGCTGGCCGTGAGTGTGAGTTCCTCATGAGTGTGAGTAGCCGTGATGGGGTCGTGAGTGGGGCCTCCTCTTCATGAGTGTGAGTAGCCGTGAAGGGAGCGACTCCGAGGGGCCGTGATGTGAGTGGCTGGCCGTGAGTGTGACCTCCTCATGAGTTTGGGTAGCCGTGATGGGGTCATGAGCGGGACCTCCTCTTCATGAGTGTGAGTAGCCGTGATAGGGGCGACTCTGAGGGGCCGTGATGTGATATGAGTGGCTGGCCGCGAGTGTGTGCTCCTCATGAGTGTGAGTAGCCGTGATGGGGTCGTGAGTGGGGCCTCCTCTTTATGAGTGTGAGTTGCCGTGAAGAGGGCGACTCTGAGGGGCCGTGATGTGAGTGACTGGCTGTGAATGGGACTTCCTCGTGATTGTGAGTAACCATGATGGGGGCGAGTTTGAGGGGGAGTGATGTGATTGGCAAGGAGTTTTTGGCACGGTTGAACTCTGTGATGTGAAGGGCTGTGACTTTTGAATGGCGGTGTACTTTGTGATGTGATTGCGAATGACTTTGATGGGTTGCCAATTCCGGTGATGTGATGGTGAGTGAGTGGGTCCCAAAATGCCGACCTATGGTGAGCAGTGACGCTGTGGTACTTCACGTAAGGGGAGGTTCGCTGGGATCCCTTCCGGGTGTATGTCTCCTGCAGAGCAAGTACGTCCGTTTTAAGTACGATGAGTCTGCGACGAAGCTCTGGCAGGCGACGGTGGAACGAATTGGTATTCCATTGGATGATAGATGAAAGTTTCTTAAGGCGTTTTGAGGTTTGTGATCGTTTTCGGGTATCAAGCATGGTGTTGGTATTAATATCTGTTAAGGCTCTGGCAGTTGCCTGAGTCTACTTGATCCAAGAGTGGACGAGAGGTAATGTGAAGTCAATTAGGGTAATGCCTGCTCGTGCGAGCGGGTGCTCCAGTGTGGCCAGAAAGGTACGAAGTAGCGTCGCAAGGGTGTATACCGCGGATCCTAGTCCTTGAGGTTCAGTATTATTGTCGGAGCCTTGGGTACGACATCGGTACGTTGTGTCGCTAGCCCTTTGAGCAGAAGTTTTTATCACTCTTGCGAAGTTGTCCTGGCGTTGCCGCGGTGATGTTTCGGGTCCAACGGTAGTTGATGCGGATGTGGACGCAGCTGACTGACGTGGAAGAGGAGGAAAGTGATCGTCGTCTAGTGGCGGCATCATAGCATCCTCCACTTTCTCGTTTTAGCTGTTCCTGGAAGATGGATTCAGAGTTCCAGCAGTTTTGTTCTTGGTGTCGGAGAGGACAGCTGATTTCGCTAGTGGGTAGCTGACCTTGTGGGTTTGACGATAGCTCGATACAGCTGCTTCCGTTTTATAAAAGGGACAGCTTCGAGAGGTCGCCTCATGCTTTCTTTTGCAGTTGACGCACCTAGGTTGGTCGGCTTGGCAGTCGATGCGGTCGTGAGTGCCGCCACAGCGGCTGCAACGTTGCACATGGGAGCATGCGGTCCCGAACCGCCGACATTTGTGGCACTGTCGTGGTTTGTCGGTGTACTGCAGTACTCTGAAGCGTATATGCCCCACAACGACGTGTTCTGGCATGGTCTCGGTTGCAAAGACAAGATTCACCGTTTCTGAAGCTCCTAGCCTTTTTACTAGGATGACTGGCGTAGTTGCGCTTATAGCCTTTTTGAGGTCGCTTTCTGTGATGTCCTTGTCTACGTCACGAATAATTCCTACGGCCGAAGATCGTGGGTGAGCTTCGTAGGTTTGGACTTTGATCCCTAATAGAATTGTTAAAGTAAGGATCGTTTGCATGGAGCTGTTGTCCTGCATGTCGATTGCAAGGAGGTTCAGTCTGTAGTTCGGTCGAATTTGAATCACTCCATGCGGTGTGATGGAATCTAGCTCTTGAGATAGGGTTAGAGGGTTAAGCTTCGCGATGAGCTTTGTCGGGTCTTGGGGTTTGACGATGACCGTCCGGTTCTTGTGATGGGCATCAATGATGGTGGCTTGACTTGAAGCAGAGCCCCCGGAGAGGTGGCGTCGCTTCCTACAGTTGAGGGTCCAGCCGGAACCCTCTTTTTCTGCGTCATCTATATCGTTGTCATCGTAGCTCTCAGAGCCGGGGGTGGATTCGCTCATGGTTGCGTCGCTCGGAGTACGGGCTTCGGTCAGGATGACTGCCCAAGAGGTTTTGCAAACGCTCCCAGGGGGTTCTAGTTTAAATTACCAAAATGATAGGAAAAAACTAATTTACTTGCAGAGGTGAGGAATCGAGCATCCGTTTAGGTGCGTCGTCGTCGTCGTCCCACCGCACACGACAAGACACATCATGGATTGGCGCCCGTGCAAGATGCTTCCTGGGTGTAACGGAGATGGGCCTATAGTGCAAAGGGCCGGGCGTGCTGTACGTGCCTTAATATCTGTGTATAGCACAAACAGAAACATGACCCCGGTTTGGCTACATGAAGAGCTCGTTCCGTTTTCTCCGCCCTTTGTGCCCTGGCTTTGGACATCGGATAATGGAACATCCACTGCACCGCTAAATATCAGACCAAGGAATGTCAGTTGCCATCATTAAAAATTAATTTTTAATGATGGCAAAGAAGAAGAAGAAGGAGCCGTAGCATCCGAACGTTTTTTTCCACCGCTCTGTATATATTATCTTGTATAGCAATCCAGGATAGCTAGGTTCGACATTGTACATGTACTTTTTTTTAGTACACGGAAGTGACGTCATCACGTCTGATTGGTCGGAAACAAAAGTGACGTAATTTCCCTAGAAAAATATGGGCGGAGTCGGCAAAACTGGGCGGAGTCGGCTACCGGACGTGACAACAAAATGACGTTTCGTTTTGTACCGAGTACGTTTCAAAAGGTAAATTGGGTTGTTTTGGATGTTTATACAGCCTAGAACTTGGT